TAAAATATTTCCTTCAACTTAGACTAAAGAGAGAAATCCCGAGAAATATAAAAAACAAAATTGTAAATATTTCTTGCCATTGACGAAGATATCAGAAAAACCCGAGGGTGGCTTTTACACTTGTTCATATTGAGTGAAAATGAAGGAAAATATTGAAAACTGGATAAACTTCTATACATTTGATTTTTCTAGGTTTAATATAAACGAGGGAGATAACAGTTGAAATTTAATTTATTTACGTGATAAAAATTGCGGATCAGCTATTGCATGTTTAAATACGAAAACTTGTAGATGGAAAAATGAGTGAGTGAAAATAGATATTTATGGGTTGGACGACTCTCATTGGTATGCGCATCTACGAAAGCTAGATAGAGAAAACTTGAATTAAAATGAAAATCATTTAATTCATAAATATATTGGATTTGCAGCAAACCTATCGCGTCCCCCTCTTTATCCATTTGCCAGGTGACCTCCACATTCCTTTATCTCCCTTAATCATAAGCTCCAATGCAACCAAATTTTGTTTGCACGTACCCAGACAGTAGGAGAGAGACAAGAGTTCTTCTTGCCCCTTGTTTGTGTGTCGTTGTTGTAGTTGTTGCTGTTGTTGTGATAACATTATATGCTTATCAGTGAAAACAACAATGATAGTCGGCTTTCTTCATCGTCGCTGTCTGTCGACTTCATTGAGTAAAACACTTGACTTATCAGCGGCTCTTAAGCTATATATAATGCGCCCTAAAAATATATATGTATATCAGATATATGTATATTATGTATCATATATTATATATGTGCATATAACATTTGATATATGTCTAATTACTGAAAACGAAGTCTCTTTTTTTTGTTCTCTTGGGCTATTCCTCTGCTTTGACTCATTCGAAACTTATCAGTGATGTCAACAGCCGCCGTCCAGTGTCAAGTTGACAGCCTCGCTATGATTTTTTTTTGGCAATGGATCATACGAAATGCCTGCCAATTGGCATCGAAATTTATTTACAAAATCCTTGAACTATGCTTTGGTTTATGCCTCGCTTTCCAGGCCCAGAAATGCTCTGCAAATGAGCTGGATGTGAACTGTGGAGCGGCGCTAATGGCTACAAGGTTTTGTGCTTAGCTGTATCCTGTAAAAGGAGTGGGAATCGGGTGTATAATGTCTGTGCAGCATTCATAATTCAAATATAGTTATATATCCCAACCTTAGACCTCAACTCTCTATTATAAACCGTAATACAAAAGTCCCTCAGACCTGTTCTGTATATTGTTTACTGGGTATTTGATAGTCAATACTCTATGGATCATTGGTACCCGTGTTACAGGGTATTTAGAGAGTTTACCACGCGAAATTGGCTCTAGTGCCATTTAAAAGGAAGCTTTTAGCCAAATTGAAACAAGTCTCCGGTCAAAGAGAGAGAGAGAGAGAGAGCGAACAGGAAAGACGAATAACCGGGCACTCTGGCTACTTGGCTGTCCGGCTATCCGGCATTCCGGCTATTCAACTGTCCGGCTAACAGACAATCCGGCATTCAGGCAAGGCAAACATGTAAATGGCCGAAAAGATATCATCATTTGTCGTTTGGCATGCCTGCCAACAGCTGTCCGTCCGTCTATCATCATTTACGCCGGTGCGCCCACGGAATTCCTCAAGTTCCGTACGAAATTTAATAGCTACGAAGGCATTTAACATGCAAATTCCATATGAAAACTTTCTTTATGCCTGCAAATAAACAACATATGCATGCATATGTGTGTCTGTGTGTGTAAGTGTGTAAATATACACTAGAGAGCACCAGTTTGCATACTCATGTGAAAAATTTACAGTAGTAGTTAGAATGCCATGTACATAGGCCTAGAATACGGACAAGAATGTACGAATGTGAATGAAACAGTACTAGGTCTAAGTATACGTGCAAATTTACATACACATATAAAAGATTATTATTTTATATCTGTGAAAATAAACAATAGCAAGCATAAGTATGTGTCTATAGTAAAATGGTATAGTAATAGCTACAAGTACGCACATGAAGCTATCCACACACAGGTGGGGAGAGACGTACCCTGGCAACCATAAGTATTTTGACAAATCTATTAATAATTGTGCCTATTTGGATAAATTGTTTAATATTAATACTCCAGCATTCATTTTTGTGAGCATACTCTCGTATAATACCATATATATGTCCGACAATATGTTTACAATCATAATTTATAGATTATTGATTATAATCATTAAGTAGTACTAGGATTTATTGCAGATAAGCAAATGTGAATATACTGTGCATGCACTTTTGGCAATTAGTGTATGTATTGCTATGTTTCAATACATGTACATAGATAGGCACTTTAAATATTTATAATTCGCCTATAATATTTTATATTCTTCTGTTTTACAACTGCTGTGTACATACTTTTGCCTGCTAGTGTTTCTTTATAGCGAATGCGTATTGTTTCCCACTGACTTTTTGTTTGCCTTAATTTGATGTGTGTGTGTGTGTGTGGCCAGAACGTTTATTGTTTACTTTAATTAGATTGCGGCAGCTACTTTCCGGCCTTAACCATGCTTCGTCCCCTCCCCGTCCCGCCCCTTTCTGTCCAGAAACACGCGCCCAAAGCACATTCCCCTCTTGGGTATTAAATAACATGTTTAACTTTTAATAAGTGAGTTTTGAATTACATCAAACGACACGCAACTCGAAGCGGGCTGAGCATTATCTAAGTATTTATCAACGATTTGTTGAGTGCTCCATCTGATATCTGTCAATGGAATATGTTTAGATCAATCTTATCGCGGATGATTAAGTCGAGAATCGAATCAAATCAAATCACCGTCGTAAATAAATCAGGTTCTCTCAATCGTGACTACGAATTTAACACTTTCAAGTTTTCTATTTAAGTAGAATTTGGGGGAACAAAAAAGGTATCCATATACATATCTACCTTATACTTATGAGATAGCAAGTGCTTATTTGCTCAACATACAACTCCCTTTACCTACGTAAATGTGAATATGTATTATGTACTTACGATAATTTAACGTTATCTATTAGTAGAGGACGTATGCATAGCTATCTTATATGTGTACATAAGCATTACTAAAGTGAAATAAAAAACAAAGGCAGAGTGAATCAGAGAAAATGAGATAAACTATGTGAGAATTGCATAGAAAGGTCATAGGTAGGAATAGAAAACATTAAGAGACAAAAATTTAAGGGCAGAGGAAGTAGACATTAGAGGAAAAACAGAAGATGGGGCTTACATACATATATATATTATATATCATGTGTATAAGTATTAAAGGGTATTTCAGTTTTAGCATTTTGCAGTAAAGTATTTTGCGGTTGCTCTTGTTTAAAGTTTTCATTTTCAGCAGAGCTTTCGTTTCTTGTTTGTTTRTTTAATTTATTGAACAGAGAGAAAATATACAGAGTCGACATTCATTCAATCGTGCTTATGTATATAGACATATCAGATGTACTTGTGTGTACATATATAATTGTTATACATGTGATTGAGGTTTTTGCTGTTGCACTAAACTAAACTAGTTCCCACCGTCTCAGCACAGAGAGCTCATTGTATTTGATTTGTCTCTATTTGGCAAGGTATCTTAGTAGCTATTAATAACTGGTTTTTGCCAAGGCACATTGGCTTGCGATAGGTCGTGCTACAGTTACAGTTGTATGCTACATACATACATATATGTATGTGGTACATAGTGCGTGCCTAACTAGAAGAAGCCCTTAAATGAAACAATTTGAATAGCTTTGATGTGCCTTGAACAATTGTAATGAATTTCTATACTTTTATACGGACAAACAGACAATGAGTAAGACAACAGTGTTCTATTTACCAATACCGACTGAGCTAGCCTGACTTGGCTGTTGACTAATGCTTTTCAAGTCGTTTATCCATTTACCATATTTAGCTGGAAAAGACTAGATCAACTCGTCTGCTGCTTCCATAATTCTATCCTATACAGACGAACAGGTGCATACTTATTAGGCAGTTGATAATAGTCTTATCCTCGGTCAGAGTTGCACTAAGTTCTTATACTCTTATAATTATACCTTCGAGTATTCGTATAATAATCTGCTCTTATTCGTCATAGATCAATGTAGCTTTTGATCTGTATACTTTTACTTTCAGTAACTCTTATAGAGAGAACGAGGTCATATTGTCTCGACTATTGATCTGAGTACTTCAATATTCGTATCGTTATACCCTCTTCTCCTTCATTCAATGAGCATCAATAAGTGCATTTGCTTTTATGCACACAGCTCTTATATATATATATATATATACATATATGGAAAACACGCGTTTTCCCAATTGCAGATCGTCCATTGAAATGGGCTTTAAGCCGCTTTCGCCTTCTTCAACTTGTTGACAAAATGTGCCACCCAATGAAGGTGCTTTAAGTGATATATGATATGTCCCTCAAGTATCTCGCTTGCACTCTACTCACGCATCACGATGAGATTTATAGTGATGATGATGATCATGATTATGAATGTGGTAAATTTAATGATTATCATCAAGGCTCGACCTGACGTCAAAGTGTAAAAACTCGCAGTTGCCCACTTTGGGGAAACTATTCATAGTACAAACTGAATACTCTACCATATAGAAGGCATGTTAATTTGAATAATATATATGTATATATAAATATTTAAGATTGAGGTTTGGTTTACATGTCATAGTTGGTATGTAAGCCAGGTTTAAAATCTGTTTGAAATTGTTACTAATTACACACC